AGATAAAAAAATTAAATCAAATCTTTACATATTTAAAAAAAATATCAATACGAGAGAGAGAGAGAGAGAAAATAGGGAAGAGAGAGTGAAAGAGTAATGGAGTAATAAATACTCTTTTAATCTTTTTTTTTTTTTAAAATACAATTAAAGTCAAATAAGTTTCTTTAATGCAGTTTAGATCAAATAAGTCTAAATTTTTGTACCGACTTCCAAATTATCCTCAAAAATATTGGATGAGGTCCAATACAATACAATATATTAATATAGATACAACTAAAAAAAAATTCATATTATTTATTTAAAAAATATATTTTTTAAGATGTAAAAATGTTAATTTAATTTTTGCATTCAAGTTTTGCATGTAAAAAAATTATTAATTGAATTTAAATTTATACACAAAACAATATTAAGTCTGTAATCAGTTCAAAATATAGAGAAAAAGAAATAAACTTATTAGTGTAGCAAAATTATTTTTCAAAGAATGAATATTAGTAGGATTTCAAATAATAAGTTATTACTGCTCATCCTGTTTTTTTTAGCTATTTTATGTGTGTTTTAGTTTTTAGATTTGTCTTATTTTTAAGTTTTTATATTCCGATGGTTATGTATAATATATAATCAAAATAAATACAAATGGTCAAAAAAGATCTATGATTGAAAAACGAAAGCCTCAAAAAACGTTTTGATCCATTACACTGACCATTAGAGTCATTGTCAAATGTTTGGTGAAACTAATTGGATTGATGTGACTCACTTTGGCCATACCAACCCCTCGCCCCCACCCCCACCGCGGGGCCCACGTCGGGGGCTCAAAATAAGACATTAATCATTGTTGCAGTTTGTATTGCTTGATAACTGATGCCACTAAAAAAATATCTTTAATCGTAATAAAAATATTTATAAAAATGATAAATTTTTTAATTATAAAATAACTCACTAAAATTATAGAAATATCAATTAAAATAATAAAAGTTAAAGTTACTCATATGGACAAAATTTAAGGCCAGGACTTTAATGGCTCAAAAGTTTGACCAGCCTAAGAGGCTCAGAGCAGAGAAGGAGAACTTAGCATCGACAAAAGACCTATAACCCAATAATCCAAGTCCAGTCCAAACTGCAAAACGGTTTGGAGATTGAAAGTCCAGTCCAAGCTACTTTCTGGATCACCAATGGGGATCATGCACCCTAGGGGTCCAGGGGACTGCTCGTGACACCTACGACAATCACAAAGAAAGTGGAGCGTCAAGCCACCAGAGATCGTGGCATCGGCAGTGCCGGATGAACAGTGATCATAGTGGCAGAAGAAGTAGGAAGGGACAGAAGAAAGGACAAGAGAGACCAATACAAATGGAATGACAGTTGAAAACCCTAGGAGAGACTGGTATAAATAGAAAACGATAACCTGGCGAGAGGATCCCCTCCCCAAAAATCAGAAAACATTTAAAAGTCAAAAAACATAGAAAGTTAAGAGAGAATACCTAGACACTCATTCGTTGTAAGTGGACTTTGAGTCCCAATTTCAGGAGGCACACCTCCGATCGATGAATATACAAACTCAGCGAGTAAGAGACTTCATTGATAGTGGATGTAGCCTTAGTCCATCGACTAAGGTAAACCACTTATATTCCCCGTCTAACTGATCGCAAAAGATTAAACCATAACCAACGAAACCAACTCAGAACATCATCCCATTATAGTTGAGCTTGGGCCATAAATTTCGAGCACCATCAGGTACGAATCTGAATTTATTTTTTTGGTACTGTAATAAAATTCAAAACAAAATTATGAAACAATAAAATTTTTTATCAGTGTTATTTTAAAAAATTAATATTTGATATTCTAATTCTCTCTTTAACAAAGTTAGACTCACTTTTTTTGAAAGTAAAGTTAGACTCACTTGAGTGGACTATTTTCAAGTTTGAAATTTTGAATTTTGTGAAGCACAACGATAGGGAGAGAGATATGAACTTTGAATTTTGTGAGCTGATTTATAAGATGGGTCTAGACCACTGAACATCAAATTTTCTTATTGGGCCTAAGTTTTATAAGGTTTTTTTTTATATTGACTTAGAATATTATGAGTTTTGTGTTTAGGCCTCAACTATGCCATAAACATGAAATATGAGGGCTCCTTTATAACAGGGCCTAAATCCCACTTTGTTTGCCTCCCTATTAGGTCAGCCATGGTCATGTTTAATAGATTTGTATCGTGTTTAGCTGAGTTTATATCCGTTTATTTATTTGAAAGACCTAATAAGTCCACTCATTTATCGCCNTGCCTCCCTATTAGGTCAGCCATGGTCATGTTTAATAGATTTGTATCGTGTTTAGCCGAGTTTATATCCGTTTATTTATTTGAAAGACCTAATAAGTCCACTCATTTATCGTCNAGAGAGAGAGAGAGAGAAAATAGGGAAGAGAGAGTGAGAGAGTAATGGAGTAATAAATACTCTTTTAATCTNTAAAAAAAATATCAATACGAGAGAGAGAGAGAGAGAAAATAGGGAAGAGAGAGTGAAAGAGTAATGGAGTAATAAATACTCTTTTAATCTTTTTTTTTTTTTAAAATACAATTAAAGTCAAATAAGTTTCTTTAATGCAGTTTAGATCAAATAAGTCTAAATTTTTGTACCGACTTCCAAATTATCCTCAAAAATATTGGATGAGGTCCAATACAATACAATATATTAATATAGATACAACTAAAAAAAAATTCATATTATTTATTTAAAAAATATATTTTTTAAGATGTAAAAATGTTAATTTAATTTTTGCATTCAAGTTTTGCATGTAAAAAAATTATTAATTGAATTTAAATTTATACACAAAACAATATTAAGTCTGTAATCAGTTCAAAATATAGAGAAAAAGAAATAAACTTATTAGTGTAGCAAAATTATTTTTCAAAGAATGAATATTAGTAGGATTTCAAATAATAAGTTATTACTGCTCATCCTGTTTTTTTTAGCTATTTTATGTGTGTTTTAGTTTTTAGATTTGTCTTATTTTTAAGTTTTTATATTCCGATGGTTATGTATAATATATAATCAAAATAAATACAAATGGTCAAAAAAGATCTATGATTGAAAAACGAAAGCCTCAAAAAACGTTTTGATCCATTACACTGACCATTAGAGTCATTGTCAAATGTTTGGTGAAACTAATTGGATTGATGTGACTCACTTTGGCCATACCAACCCCTCGCCCCCACCCCCACCGCGGGGCCCACGTCGGGGGCTCAAAATAAGACATTAATCATTGTTGCAGTTTGTATTGCTTGATAACTGATGCCACTAAAAAAATATCTTTAATCGTAATAAAAATATTTATAAAAATGATAAATTTTTTAATTATAAAATAACTCACTAAAATTATAGAAATATCAATTAAAATAATAAAAGTTAAAGTTACTCATATGGACAAAATTTAAGGCCAGGACTTTAATGACTCAAAAGTCTGACCAGCCTAAGAGGCTCAGAGCAGAGAAGGAGAACTTAGCATCGACAAAAGACCTATAACCCAATAATCCAAGTCCAGTCCAAACTGCAAAACGGTTTGGAGATTGAAAGTCCAGTCCAAGCTACTTTCTGGATCACCAATGGGGATCATGCACCCTAGGGGTCCAGGGGACTGCTCGTGACACCTACGACAATCACAAAGAAAGTGGAGCGTCAAGCCACCAGAGATCGTGGCATCGGCAGTGCCGGATGAACAGTGATCATAGTGGCAGAAGAAGTAGGAAGGGACAGAAGAAAGGACAAGAGAGACCAATACAAATGGAATGACAGTTGAAAACCCTAGGAGAGACTGGTATAAATAGAAAACGATAACCTGGCGAGAGGATCCCCTCCCCAAAAATCAGAAAACATTTAAAAGTCAAAAAACATAGAAAGTTAAGAGAGAATACCTAGACACTCATTCGTTGTAAGTGGACTTTGAGTCCCAATTTCAGGAGGCACACCTCCGATCGATGAATATACAAACTCAGCGAGCAAGAGACTTCATTGATAGTGGATGTAGCCTTAGTCCATCGACTAAGGTAAACCACTTATATTCCCCGTCTAACTGATCGCAAAAGATTAAACCATAACCAACGAAACCAACTCAGAACATCATCCCATTATAGTTGAGCTTGGGCCATAAATTTCGAGCACCATCAGGTACGAATCTGAATTTATTTTTTTGGTACTGTAATAAAATTCAAAACAAAATTATGAAACAATAAAATTTTTTATCAGTGTTATTTTAAAAAATTAATATTTGATATTCTAATTCTCTCTTTAACAAAGTTAGACTCACTTTTTTTGAAAGTAAAGTTAGACTCACTTGAGTGGACTATTTTCAAGTTTGAAATTTTGAATTTTGTGAAGCACAACGATAGGGAGAGAGATATGAACTTTGAATTTTGTGAGCTGATTTATAAGATGGGTCTAGACCACTGAACATCAAATTTTCTTATTGGGCCTAAGTTTTATAAGGTTTTTTTTTATATTGACTTAGAATATTATGAGTTTTGTGTTTAGGCCTCAACTATGCCATAAACATGAAATATGAGGGCTCCTTTATAACAGGGCCTAAATCCCACTTTGTTTGCCTCCCTATTAGGTCAGCCATGGTCATGTTTAATAGATTTGTATCGTGTTTAGCCGAGTTTATATCCGTTTATTTATTTGAAAGACCTAATAAGTCCACTCATTTATCGTCAAAAACGGGTAAGACTAAGTTCAAACTCGTTGATTTCATATCGATCTCTAATTGAATTCGTACTCCGTACTTAAAATTGCCTAACCTAGTAAAAATTAGAGGCCCTAAAATTTTGTTAAGCTATTCTAATTTTTTTTAGAGGCCCCAAATATTTGTATTAATTTAGGGACCCTAGGCAGTGGCCTTAATCTAGTACATTGCATTGTCTTTTAATTGGTAACCCATATTCTATTTCCTGTCCCTAAAACAGAATTTTGCAGTGGAGGTATTGAGCAACTGAAGTTAGAAATAAACCAAGAAAAACACATTTTATTACCAATATGCAATGGAACAATTACATTGCAGCATTAAAAAATAATTTATTCCATCCTAAGGGAATTTATTTATTTATTAAGCATTAATCCCTTAAGGCCAGATTATATGTTATATGCTGCCAGGCTAAAAGGTACAGATCACATCCATGCAAGAGTGAACTTTTCATCTTTGTTCTACAACTCCAACCACAAGGCTACCCTGTATTCTTCAAGAAAGGGCAGCTTGAAGAAATCTCAGTTTTTGAATCATCAGAGCTTGTTATTCCCTTCATGAGACCTCCAAGTAGTTCTCCGCGATCGTAAAAAAACTCCACCTTTACGATCCTCGAATGCTCATCCAACTGTGTCACACAATACAAACTCCATTACATTATTAAACGTGTTGTGTTCAGATCATAGTGAAAAAGCAAAAGAATAAAGAAGAAGAAATTTTCCTAGAAAGTACCTCAAAAATGGCAATTCCATAAAATTCTACTCTTTCTCCGGTAGGGGAATGTCCTTTAAAAGGACCCTCCATGTAACCCCAGTGCCTAAACTTGTACACAATTACTGGTGGGCCGGAATAGACTCGGAGAATCTCCAGAGCAAAACCACGGGGAAATGTGGTGGTGAAGGCCCTGTGGGATGACTCCACTGTTTCCTTAGCTGGGTTGTAGAACCTCAAGTTTTCCGGCAATGATGTTTGCAGGAAAGCGTTGTAGCTTCCCCCAATCTTACCAATTTCTTCCAGTGTTATAGCTTTTTTTCCTGGAAAATATAATCCAGATTAAATTACTTACAAACAAAACCAGTTTTTGGTACGAGAAAATCACATCCTCCCGTGGCGATAGACTCTTGCGCTAGGCCGCAAAAAGAATTAGCAGAGAACGATTTTCTTCTTTTGTTCTTACCATTAGTACTAAATGTAAACTTCTCTGGATCACATGTTTTATATTCATCAGGATTTGCCTTGTGGAACATTTCCATCTCCCATGTCTTTACAAGATTCTGCACTTTCTCTTCTAGTGAACCTGGAGGCCATATCTATAATACACATAGCAATAGGTTAAATAGACTAAATTGAAATAAGAATATCACAACATCAATGTAAAAATATAACTAACACAACTCTCATTGATTGATTCAGTTGCCGTGCAATAAAAGAGGCATAAATTTGCATGTTTTGAGTTTCGAGTCTTGGCAACCGAATAAAACCCAACAGGTTTATTTAATGCGAGTGATTTACTGGTGATTATGTACACTTGAAATTTGATAATCAAGAATCGAAAAATACGTGGTTGAAATTATTTTTCTCACAAGCTTCGAAATGTTTTGTATGATAGATTGATCTCATATGTTTACGAACTTAATTAGAACACAAAAGCATAGAGAGAGAGAGAGAGAGAGAGAGGTATTGAATACGTTAGTTCTGCCTTCTTCAAAGAGCTTGTTGACGACATCATAGTTAGGAGGAGCACCAAACCTCCAGTGGGTGTTCTTCACCTCCTCTTCTGTCGGGTAGGATCTGTACTTGTCTTTCTCTGCACCTATAGATGCCATGTTCTAAGAAAACAAGAGCATAAACGTTCAACCTGTAATTTTTGAACCGAATGGTCCCTATATATAAGCACAATGGTTAGAATGTTCTTTTTTGAATTCGATTTGAATGTTTTCTTTATTAGTTTGCAATTGGTAACCACTTCTACCTAAAACTTGTTACCAACTAAATTACTAATTAAGCAATTTTTTTTGGTGGTATTTGATAACACTGAAAACTGAATGCTGAATTTTAAGTATTGAATGCTAAATTTTTTAATTCGTAGATTGTTTAGTATTAACTGAAATTTAAGTATTAAATTGAATCAAACTGTTTGACAAATATAAAGAGCTGAAGTTTGAAAATTATTATTATTATAATTTTTTCTTTCTCTTTAACCATCTTTCTGCAATTGTCTTATTCTTATCACCACCATCACAATGGTGGTGGTAGTGGTGGCGGTGACGATGACGACAATGGTGGTGGTGGTGGCAGTGGCACAAAAGTAGTTATGACGACAACGATAATGGTGGTGATGGCGGCAACACTGTGGTGGTGGTGGCGGCGACGACGATGACATAATGGTAGCGACGGTAATGGTAGTGGTAGTGGTGGTGGTTGCAATAGCAATGGTAATGATGATGGTGGTGGCAGTGGCGGTGGCACAATAGTGGTGGTGCCGACAGTGGTGGCAATGGTGGCACAATGGTGGTTGTGGTAGTGGTGACATAATGGTAGTGGTGGTTACGACTACACAATGATGATGACGATGGTGGTGGCGACAATCGTGCTAATGACGATGACGGTGGCAAAATGGTAATGGTGGTGACAGTGATAGTGGTGGTGCCGATGGCACAATGGTAATGATAGTAATGACAACGGTAGTGTTGATTGTGGTAGTGACAACGGTACAATGTTGGTGGTGGTCGTGGTGGTGATAAGGTTGGTTGTGGTGGCGATAACAGAATGGTGGTGAGAGTATTATTTGTTCGTTATGAAAAATTGACAAACTTTTTACTGACTAATATTTTCAATATTAAGTGATAAGTAGTTGGCTTGCTACTTAAAATTTTAGTCTATTTTTAAGAAGTGGTTAAAATATTAAGTAGTATGAGATTTATGTTATTAAATCAATTTAATTTATTAAGTATTTAAAATATTCAGTTTTAATCTTTAGGTGTTATCAATCTGTCCCTTAACCTTAATCTATAGAACGGACGGTCAGGCCAATAGGCCTAGTCTAGAGTCTCTCCAAGAGTCTGGGATAAATTTTTGGAAAAATTACCATTTAAGTCTTACAAATTATGAGTCAGTCCAAATGTCATAGTGGATTAAATTAAAAAATTAAGTCCCAATTGCATCATTGCTCTGAATTTTTGGAATACTTTATTGAATGAGCAAAGCTATTTGTATCCAATTTATTGATCAAATTTATTGGTCTAATCATTCAAAACTATTTGATTGACAATGGGCTCCGGTACTTATTGACACTCACAACTAGTTCAATGGTTATAATGAATTAAGTCGACAAACTAGGTCAACAAATTGAGTCCAAATAACATTATTGTTATTGAATTTGATTGAATAGGAGACAAATGGTTCTTTGGATGTCCTATACCTGCATGATTTAGAAATTTTTTATTTTTCACTACATTAGTAGTGTTATATGATATCATATAGTTATTAGATGATTCACTGATTCAAATATTGAGTTAACTGATTGAATTGATAATATAATAAAAAATTTATAAGATATAATAATTTAACTAATTGTGTGTGTGTGTGATTATTTGTCACTTGGTCACAAGTCTGACCCTATCAACAATTTATGGTGCATGTACCAGGTATTTGTTGTCTATCTTTCTCCCTTATAATATCTCTTTGGGTGGAACTACTCCTTAAATCTCCGATCCCACCTCATTCCTACTCCATTAGTTATTAAACTCATTTCGTCTATATGTATATGATGGGACATTTCCAGNTTGTTGTCTATCTTTCTCCCTTATAATATCTCTTTGGGTGGAACTACTCCTTAAATCTCCGATCCCACCTCATTCCTACTCCATTAGTTATTAAACTCATTTCGTCTATATGTATATGATGAGACATTTTCAGAATACTCCAAGATGAAGACACGTATCTTCGGTGTCACTGATCCTTGTTATCGAGATCACGTACCCATCGGGGTCACAAGTCTCCTCTACCCCAAGGTACTTATCATGGGATCGAGTGGCATCCAGTACGTTTTTATGTACCGACACGTACCCTCGGTCTGATATGGTACATCGGTCGTTAGGCCTCTCCCTCTCGGATTCAAAATGTACCTATTCTTCGGTTCTGAGATGTACCTCTTCCTCGGCTCCGAGATGTACCTCTTCCTCGGCTCTGAGATGTACCTCTTCCTCGGTACCGAGATGTACCCCTCTCATCCAGGATGAAGTTCTCTGCTCCAGCAGAGGCTATTGATGCATTGGTCACTAGCCTAAGCTAGGCTAGGTTAGCTATCATGACCTCGTCTTACACAATTGGTGTCAGAAGGCACAGGAAGGCAGGGGCCACAACCAATGAGGAATGGACGCGTGGCATATTGTGTCACATCAGAGACAGAAAGACCGCATGACCTTGCTGACACGCGACTTGGGAAAACAAGCATTTAATTACACCATTCCCTTGATGAGACTGCATTCAATGCGGTAAGGCTCAGAAGTGAAAGGTAATAAATGTCTCTAAGGCTGGACATTTATTTCATCCTCCCCGAGAGGAGCTCATTGAACCGTCGGCAGGCCGATGACACAGTCTTGATTGCTCGGGGTCCCGAGCAGTTAAGAGAGAAGACATTCCTCATAGGAATCAGTGCGCACGTTGCCTGTATCTAATGATCACCTACTGACCACACTGACAGCAATCATGAGTATTTGAGGTATAAATACTCCTCACTAAAGGTAAGGAAAAAGAGGTGAAATTTTTGCTACAAACTATACTCAGTGTTTTCTTCTTCTTCTCCCTCAAAAACTGACTTGATCGTCGGAGGGGATATGCCGGAAAACACTCCGGTGCCCTTCTAACTTGTTCTTCTTTGTTCCAGGAACCTTTCTTCAGCCTTACTGGATCGTTCCTTTGATCCGCGAGGATCACCCATTACCGTTCCAGATTATCNGTGCCCTTCTAACTTGTTCTTCTTTGTTCCAGGAACCTTTCTTCAGCCTTACTGGATCGTTCCTTTGATCCGCGAGGGTCTCCCATTACCGTTCCAGATTATCACCGGATCTCACAGGCTGTTCCAAGCAGCGTGGTTGACTACTCAATTGACTCACTCGAGTTCACCAAGGGAGAGATCCGTTCTCGTTTTTATATTGTGTAAGATCTAGCACGCACAATCTGGCGCCGTCTGTGGGAAACAACTAATTTTCCTAGTTTTTTCTCTATAAAGAACAGTGACCATGGTGAACACTCGACAAAAAGGGAAAGGTCCTCACCAAAGAAGTCTCGAATTACAAGCTCCCTATCACCACGGAGGAAGGGATCACACTGATGGGAATAAAAATGCCTCTACTCAGTCAAGAGGGGTTACCCCTCAAACCAGTATGGGAATCAGGTCAGGAGGATCAGCCCCCTTGGCTCGTCAGGTGGCGGAGGTGATCGAAGAAAAGTTTGGCGATAGATTACGACAGCTGGAAAAGGACAATGTAAACGTCCTAAGCCGGCTCAACGAATTTGCCGCCTCCGGCGAAGGATCGAGGGACTCATTCCTTTCTCGTGGGCTCCCCGCCCGGGAGGCGAAAACGAAGGATCTAAGGAATCATCTAAACAACAAGGCAGAAAGCTCCAGGGCCCCAAAGCGACCGAGAGCCAACGAGCACCCTCCTAACGACCATTCAAGGAAGGCAAGACCATTAGCCCTGGATGACCTCCGGCGAGGATTGTCTAGACGGAGGAAGGGAGATGAGTCCGAGGAGGATTCTACCCTATCCACACGGCGCCCAGGAAATGGGGGGCCTATTGATGAACTCAAAGACTTCAGAAGACATCCCGTCAGGGAGGAAATTGATCTCAGAGCCCGGTTGAAATCCAGGAGAAAGAGTAAGGCTGTCCAGGATAAGGTTGAAGACGAGGTCATACAAACACCCTTTACCAGAGAGATCGGAGAGATGGAGGTTTCAAGAAAGTTTGTCGCGCCGAGGTTCAAAACTTATGACGGGCGGTCTGATCCCGAAGCTCATCTCAGGNATTTAATTTATTAAGTATTTAAAATATTCAGTTTTAATCTTTAGGTGTTATCAATCTGTCCCTTAACCTTAATCTATAGAACGGACGGTCAGGCCAATAGGCCTAGTCTAGAGTCTCTCCAAGAGTCTGGGATAAATTTTTGGAAAAATTACCATTTAAGTCTTACAAATTATGAGTGAGTCTAAATGTCATAGTGGATTAAATTAAAAAATTAAGTCCCAATTGCATCATTGCTCTAAATTTTTGGAATACTTTATTGAATGAGCAAAGCTATTTGTATCCAATTTATTGATCTAATTTATTGGTCTAATCATTCAAAACTATTTGATTGACAATGGGCTCCGGTACTTATTGACACTCACAACTAGTTCAATGGCTATAATGAATTAAGTCGACAAACTAGGTCAACAAATTGAGTCCAAATAACATTATTGTTATTGAATTTGATTTTGATTGAATAGGAGACAAATGGTTCTTTGGATGTCCTATACCTGCATGATTTAGAAATTTTTTATTTTTCACTACATTAGTAGTGTTATATGATATCATATAGTTATTAGATGATTCACTGATTCAAATATTGAGTTAACTGATTGAATTGATAATATAATAAAAAATTTATAAGATATAATAATTTAACTAATTGTGTGTGTGTGTGATTATTTGTCACTTGGTCACAAGTCTGACCCTATCAACAATTTATGGTGCATGTACCAGGTATTTGTTGTCTATCTTTCTCCCTTATAATATCTCTTTGGGTGGAACTACTCCTTAAATCTCCGATCCCACCTCATTCCTACTCCATTAGTTATTAAACTCATTTCGTCTATATGTATATGATGAGACATTTTCAGAATACTCCAAGATGAAGACAC